TGCCCATGAGGCATATGCGTGGTAGACCTCCGCTAGCATCCCCAGCGCTAGATGTTCAATACGTACTACGCTGAGTTCAGCATACGAATAACATTTCCTTAGTTGAATGACACATTGCTTTGAATTCTTTCGTGAAAAATTCTTGTACTAGCTGTAGTCTTACCTAAGCGTGGCATCACGCTCGATAAAACAAACCTCTGTTACGAGCTGCTAGTCTACTAGTACATGTTGCCGTACGGACAAGTAATTGTGAACTTCTGATGCTCACAATTAAGGTAGACTGTTAAATAATTATCAACATTAGAGTTCACAATTACGTGCCAGTGTCACCTAACTGTGAACTCTCGGTCCACTATAAATGGACTAGATCGCATTATTGTGAACCGCTGCCCATCTAGAACTTGGCACATAATTTTAGCACTGTCATTTAGTTATGAGGAGCTACATTGTGGGATAGTATTAGAGATATAAAGTACTTAACTGAATAGGACTGGTCACTATAAAAAAATCCTTCGGACCGGTTCAGATTAAAGAAACATTCAATTTCCTCACTCCCCCCCCCTCGGCATCCCCTGCGCTAACGAAATGACCCAGAAGACGAAAGTGAGGGACCAGTGGGCGACCATTCAGTCCTGGAAGCGTCACCCCGAGTGGTCAACTGCGGATGCTGTGCGCCATCTCGGAATCGCCCGACCGAAGCTCCTTACTTGGAAGAGAAAATACTGGGACATGCTGGATCCACCAGAGGAAGGTGGCCAGCGCTATCGAGTGAAGGGAGCGGGGCGGCCGTACAAGTTGGCAAGCTACGAGTTTCAGGCCTTGGAGTACTACGACAGAAGTTTGCGGGAGGACGGAGTGGTGCACTACGCAGACTTCCTGCGATACCTAAGAAGTATTCCTGAATTTGCCATAATACACAAGGAAACGCAACGATCGCGAGCAAGACGCTTCATGAAACGATACGACCCCGGTAGCGAAGAGGCTGGGGCCGCAAGAGCTGCTGTTAATGCCGGTGATCCTGGGCTACACGTGGAAGCTGGTACAAGTGGAGATGCAAATGCGGACAAATCATACCCCGTATCAGATGTCGCTCTCTGCGAATCAGGCGAAGGCTCTAACCCGGAATCAGTCGGAGATTCCGCTCCGATTCCATTGGATGCATCAGTTTTGGAATCAGACTTGGAGCTCCCAGGACCAGTGGCTAGCGTTGAATCAGGGGTGGAATCAGAAAAGAGAAAAAACCTTAAATTTGCCTTGAAAATCCAACTGGAGATCCCGACACCAAGCTCCTGCAACAGAGTGCCGCCCCATACAGCCTGCGACCACGAAATAACCTACTTGCCCCTGTACGCATCTACCCCCACGCCGCAGGTAGGCCCGTAGAGCTTGTCTCGATTCCACTCTTCGCTGATGACATCGCCAGCGTGAAGGAAGGAGCTCCAATTACTAGCTCCGTGGTGGACTTGTGTATCTCTCGCTACACGAAACCCGAACCAGAGCTCATGTTACCTGCAAGATCGGCTGTATTTTCCGCCATTAACTACGCCTACATCAAGCACTCGGGTCGGGAGTCCAGCGCCCCCGACACAATTGGTGATTTCGATTTGAGTGGATACAAATATGTATTACTGCCTGTGGCGTTTAACGACCACTGGAGCGTTGTAATTATCCAGAATGGCAGTGACGCAAAAAAGATATATTATCACATCGACTCGCTTCACAATGGTCACGACAAGAGGCCGAATCTCATTCTAATGTGGGCTTTCACACCTTTGAAAAGAACAAACCAAGACCGTACTTCCACAGGATCATTTTTACAGTACCTTTGTTTCTACTTGGCCTTTCTAGAGATCGTTTGCTAACCCTTTCCCGCTCAGCGGACGGCCATGCAACTCATCCCAGCCAGCCATTCGACTGGCGACCCCGAAGACGAGCTGTATTTTGACGCCGTGAAGTTTGACGCCGTGAATTTTGACATTCAACCTGATGACGATACTCTCGTCCACAATCCAAACCTAACCGAGCGCTGTGATCATGGCGATGTCCGAGGAACATGCCCCCTCTGCTCGCTTTCGCATGGTCTGATGGTGGAAACTGTGCCAGCGGACCACGACCCGACCGAGCAGCAACCACCGCATCGGTGCCCACCCTCCAACCCCTGCGCACACGCTATCCACGGCGAGCGCAGACCCTGTCGTGACACCGTTCGGCCACAGCGCCGCAGCCTCCGGCTGGACGTTGTGTCCGTTCAGCACCCGCTAAATGGCCGAAATCCACCGACATCGCCACTCCTGCCACCGCTCCGTCCAGTTCATCAACTATTTTCACGCAGATTGCTGCTGTGTCGCCACCTTTCTCGCACTGTCGGCTGCCACTCACCATGCACTTACGCACCGTGGGGAGCAGCGCAGACGCCCCACTCAATGTGTTGTTTCGACGATTACTGTTCAGGATCCGGAGTCTGAGGCCGGAGCATCAAGCTCCACTCCAGCAGCTGGCGAGACCGTTGTCATGGTTGTGAATGCCGTGATGTCTGACGCGACGGTACCCCGCTCCTCATTGGTCGGCGGTAAGCGCCGAAGACTCAGCCCGGCCGCCGAAGGCGAAGTGCCCGGCGATTCGGGGGCAGCTTTTGTCCCGACCCCACCCGGGAGTGTAGACCCCGTGATCCAGCGTGTCACTCGGCCTGATGTCCGCGCCGCACGCCGACGGCTATCGACGCAATGGGGGAGCCATCGGGCCCCCAGCGACGTACTGGTAGCAACAATCGAGGCTTTCCCCGATACTCCAGTGGATGGGTGGATAGATGTATCGGAGTTGGATCTAGCGGCATTGACTCCATCCTCGACCCCACTGGGGACGCCAAATCAGCTCTCTCTACCTGCGTCTAATTCTATCTTGACGCGTCAAACTACCCGATGAGGTCCTCGTCCTACCTGCAAGGACGTAGTCCCCGACACACCCACCGAAGGGTGGGTCGTGGGCAACGGTACAGCTCAGAGCGAACTTACACGTGACCCCGACATCTCCAGCCCCGGTATGAATTAAAAGATCATTCTTCCGGGTGCGACCTTGTCCGCCCCGTTTTCCGATGCGCAAGCCCGTACGGCAGCGACAGCTCCTGTTTCGGCGTGTACCCCGAGTGCTTCGACGGAACACCCGGTAGAGCCAGCGGCTGTAACGTGGCGTGATCTCGCAAGGGTCGTTGCGCGACCAAGTCCCACACCAACCCGTCTCGATGCCTCCTACTCCGCTTTAACATCCCTGGAAACCACTACATGCGGTGACATGACTACCGCGACTATGGACCCCGACAGACCCGACGACACGCCTACGGTAATGATCGCGAGCTATCCCTGTGACATGACCGCCGGAACTCCCATGGATGAAGACTTTGATCGATCAGCAGCCTCCGTAACCGATATCCGGACTGCAGAGACTGGCATGGGACGACAACAGCGACGACGCGTATGGTCTGGGCAGGGCCTGCACCTACCCCCATTTAAGTGGAGGAGCCAGTGCGTATGTGCAGTGGCTATTGCGCTTTGACGGAGCTTGTCGTGAAAACCCAGGGCCATGTGGTGCCGGTGCTACGTTATTTGACCCGTCCAGTAAGAATGTATGGAGCTGCTCTGAATACCTTCCTGGTAACAGGACGAACAACATCGCCGAATACGCCGCTCTCTTGACTGGGGTCTCCAGCGCTGTGCATCACAACGTTACCCACTACGGATTGAAGGTGATAGTACGCTCGTAATTGAGCAAGTGATTGGTCGTTGGAGTTGTAGAAGTCCCTCCCTCCCTCCGCATGCGTCGGAAAGTTCAATCTTAGCTTGGCTGTCTTTCACGCTACACTCTAACGCACATTGATCGCGCTGCAAATCGCGTCGCTGAAGGCTTGGTCAGTGCAGCCTTGAACAGCAAGAACACTACAGCGACATGCAGCTTGCACCCCCGTAGCGAAACGCCAGACTGCTGGACTCCAGGTTCCGCGGTGATGAGCTTATCAGCTGAGACCGAGCCGCTCGAAGCGCCAGTCCAGCTACATGAACCAGTTTTAACCAGTGAAGAGCAGGCAGCTATCGCTCGCCGGGGTGGCGGCGAAGTCTATCCCGCCTTCGACCTGAGCGTTGGCGCGATCCCGGTACGTAGACCTATACTTCGCCTCCGACAGCTCGACGATCCAGATAAGGAGCAGGCAGAGGCTGCCGCCGAGGCGATAGCCTCCTCTCTCGCTGTCAACATTTCCAACACTGTCGACTGGGACGTGGTGAGAGCTACATTACGGCTATGTCACACCGTATCTACGAGGTCTTACTACCGTTTAGCGACAAGTCTACTTGTGGAACCTGTTGGCGTGGATCCGGTGGCCACGCAGAGCGTGGAGCTAGGACCACAGCTACACGCAGCTCAAGGAATACTCGCCGTGGACAATTCACGAGACGGTCTCCCTAGTCTACTGCTTCGTCGTCTAGTCGGGACCGCCTCAGTGGGGCTCTGCAGTCTCTACGAGAACAGCAGTGCCACGAACCAGATGACCGGGAGCGGTATGGGTGCTAATTATAATCTGTTGTTCTAGCACTGTTCACCTGTTAAGTACCTGTGATCCCTACTGGCCTGTTGTCAGTATTGTTCAGCTGTTAGTTGTTCTCGTTTCTGAGTACCCGCATAAAGACTAACCATTTTATTAGTTTTTGTGGAAGGTGCAGGCGTGATATACGACACCAACTTCAATGAGTTGCAGTGTTACATGTTGAAGGAGACATGATATAATTAATATCTTCGTTATTTTTTATTATACGTTGATGAAACTAATTTTTACGTTATTACCTATGCTTTGACGACAAGTAATAAGCCTCACATAAAAAATAATAAAGAACTTCCATAGCGCAACTTGTAGAGACATTGTATGTATCCAGTGGTATGCATCAGTACTATTGAAGCTGCACGCATCTTTTGAATGTGGTTGTGACCTTAACATGCTCGAATCGAAAGATAAATTAAATTGTTAGCAGGTCTTTAGTTCTCAGCACCCGAAGCGCTCGATACATCTAGCCTCTAATCTTCAAATGTATGGTTGCCATATGAATCATTTCGCCACTTTTGCCTAGTTTGTAACACGACTGTGTAGGTTGTGGGCTCGGTTGACAGCTGTGGCTAGCTGTTCAGCTTCATAATCCTGAACACTACCGTCGCCAAAACGCACCGACCATTTGTACACTCCGTCTGAGAGCCGTACAGCAATGACGTCGCCAATGACCGAGCTGAATTCGGCTGTTTGGTTGGGAGCAACGTTGAAATTGCCCACTATTTTCTATTGTAGTAACTGTCCCGGTCGCTTGAGAAAAAGTCGAACGAGTCGATTCACCTCATAAAACCCGTCCTCGTTACTCTGTGCTGTCAGGGCTAGACGCCTAGCTGGAGGTCGACCTGGTGTACGTCGAACTGGAACAGTAGCCATAGCAGTACGTAGATCCAAAAGGTCCAACAAGGACAGTACAGCTAGTACGTGAGAACACACCCATCCTGATCGGATAAAGGCCTCGCATGTACATTGCAAGAATTTCCGTAGTCGTTCGATCGTCTCGTGTGACCGAATTGGCAAAAGTTCGAAAGGGGGTGGGTACTCTTGGTGCTTTACCATCACTCTGTGCAGAGAAAGCAGCTCAAACTCTAGCTCCAAGTAAGTGATTCGTCTGGGGAAACGATTATCGAGAGACTTCAGGAATTTAGTCACTCGTTCATTGTCCACATTAGCTCCAAGCATACCTTGACCACCAACGACATGCTTTGTAACGTTAAACACGACAGCACTTAGGCGTCGTAGACGTCTTCTGCCTTTGTAGACGAGCTTGTAGTTACGTTGGGTAGCAACCAGAAGTCCAGCTTTTACCATCATTTCTGGTGGAACGGGACCTTCGCTGAAGTGGGCGACTCTAAGAGGGCAAAGATCCTCTCCATCAGCCCGTAAAATACTAGGTAGAATACCGCTTAGTACACCATTGGTGGATGCACGAGAGCTGGGAACGCAGGTCTTCTTAATGACGCTGTGGTGCGACTCAATCCCCTGTTGACTCGGTAATACTCCTCCAACTCCGGCCCCGTTAACATGCCACCTATTCCATCTCTCACGCAGGTAAACTTCTTTGAACCAACTCGCGTAGGCACTCTCTCCATTAGTGATCCAGTGTTCTGTAACTACGTCCGCAAGCTTAACAAACTGCTTGTGAGAGCGAGCGGCTCGAAGGAGGTCAATTCCGGGCCTAATCATCTCGGCGTACAGCTCTGCATTCACCAACAGAGTTTTTTTTGTCGCGAGTTCCGAGCCATATGAGGCCAGCACGTAATAAGAGTCAGAGAGAGAGAGCTGGCCATACCTCACAAAAAGCAGACGCAATAGCTTCTGAGTGGCGAGACTTCCAAACGCAACTTGTACTTCCACTCCTAGAAACGACAGAGCTCATTCGCAGACAACCTCAAACATCTTGGCGAATCCAGCTTTTGACTCCGTCCTGACGAACATATACACCCATGGAATAAACCTGTGAACGTACTTGCCTTTGGACCACGTCAATCCGACGGAGCCACGGTCAACCACTGTCCACCCTCCAAAGTGTAGTTTATAAGTTCCATCAGTTGCACAGACGAGAGTATCACCTTGATCTCTTACTGACCGGGTTACATTCCTGAAGACTCGTCGTGTTGTGACCACAACACCAAATGACGTACCCTCGTCAAGAGCTTGACCATCAAAGATGAATGTGTCAAGCACTATCATTTTATCCATCCGTCTATCGTTCGGGTCGTCTACGGCCATGAACTTTTCACGAGTATCACACACTCTCTGACTTGCCCAGGCAGTAAAAGTTACATGGTTCGAGATATCCCAACCATTAGCGGAGCTACGAACAAGAAATGCTTTGCGATTCTCAAGCTGTTTGCAGCTCGGTACCATGCGAAGGGATCTTGGTTCGTCGTGGTATCGATGATTTAGCATAGACCGGAGCTGCTTAGCTCCCCAACCCATGTTCAGCAACGCGTCCACTTCGTCTAGAAGTTGGGGGTGAATTCCTCGAAGGGTGACCGTAGCTGGCTGTGATCCGTGACTTCCGGTTCGTTCGAGATAATACTGTGTTGGGGCTTCGGGTTCAGCCGCAGTTTTGATTTTGAAGCAAACTCCACAATTAATGAGCGAGCGGCAACGATATACCCTAGCCAGTAGTCGATCGCTCTCGTATCGAGTTTCGTAGGTATAGACGTCATCGCTTCTGTCGAATATCTCCCTGTATGCTGCCGAAAACGAGTCGAAGGTGGCTTCACGTACGTATGGTCGCTGCGAAGCCACTTCTTCGTTTGCTGTTGTCGATATTCCTTCTACTTCATCTTCGAGCTGGAAGGCGGAATCATTCGAACTTTCCACCGCATGGTCGAGGTCCACATCAGAAAAGCCTATATCGCTCAACGCGATAGAATCCGCGTTGCTGTCGGCGGCGTCGTTAGACCCAACAGCGGCGTTGACTGCCATACTGGGCCGGTTTAAAACTTGAGCTGCTGCTAATACGAAGTCGTAGTGTTGATTATATTGCGAAAGTAGAACTGTCTAACTTACGATCGCTGTAGCCTGGAACCTCGGCGTTTGCTTCCAAGTGGTAGTCCATCAGCAGCTGTAACCTCGCACGTGTCTTCTTATGATTCGGCTGAACGGCGTTCCCACTAACATCATGATAGCGTTGGCGATCTGCTTCAATATGCTCCATCAGAGATCACACCAAGTGTGCTGGCTGCGGGGTGGAGGAGCTGATACAAGATGTGGCTCTATACGCCACCGTCACTTCGGATTGGCTCAGAAAGTCCCATGTAATCGGTTGTATGCTGAAGCAAATGTGCAAGTCGTTAGTTCGCAGATGATGCTATAGGGTAAGTAGCCAAAACTCTCGTTAGATGGTGTTTGTCTCAGCTCCTATGCTCACTTATAGTAGAAATGAGATAAATATTCGGCACGAGAAGCTAACGAGAAGATCGTAAGATTGAGTTCAATTCATATCACCTTGTCGACATGTTAGTGCACTGAAGATGGTACTCGCCTTGAGTTACAGAACTTCGTCAGCCTCACGGTATCGATATGTCCCGCGTATGTTGTTCTGATTCCCTGTTGATGTGCAACAGGTCACCAAGGTGGACAACAGGCCAGCAGGGGCTGTGAAGGAGCAACAGGTCAGCAGGGGCAGAACAACAGGTATTAATTATTTCCCGAGCGGTATGTTAGCCAATGCCGGAAAGTGTTGCTCAATGGGAGTGGCGCCCAATACACATCACGTTCTTGAACCCGACAACCTGCAGCTCGCGATACACGGTGATACAATCCTTCTCTGTCTACGGGTGAATGCTATAGCTATATTGGTATTGCGACGGTCTCAAACACGGGCGGAAACGAGATGGCGTCGCTGATCTCGCAAGTACGACGGCAAGCGACCGCGCGTTTTTTCAGTCTGGACAACTCAAAACCTACAAAGTTTACCTCCTTCCCCGCCTTGTGTATGGACTGCACTTCATACGACCACTGGACCGTCAGATGAAAAGCTTCGATGAACATATCAAACGTGGGTTTCGCCACCTGCTCCTGCCTCCTGCTCAAGCAACCAACGAGATCCTTTATGCGCCAACCTTGTGCGGTGGTCTGGGGCTTTTACCTTTGAGTGAAATGTGGGTATCAGTTCAAATCGCCTATGGGTGGCAGCTATTGAATGCAAAGACGCGGAGGTGTAGCGAATTGCTCGGGCACAGCTCGGTCAAATGGTGCGTAAACGCCACGTTGTCGATGAACATCACTGGCAAGGCAAAGAATATAGCCTGCTACAGCAATTTCGCAATCACAAGCTCGGTGATCTACTGTTCGCACCAACGCAGCGGCATCACGGGGACATTGACTCGCTCTGGACGGATATTCAACGTCACATGAAGACCTACAAGATGACATTTGAGACGGCCTTGACGTCGACCAAGTCTACTTCACTGCCGTCACTCGAACCGACTCCACAAGGATCACTACATCTGCGAGTACCCCATTTAACGCAGTGGCTTGACCGCAAAACAGTGCTCCGACACCTGAAACTTTACCTCAAGCTTTGCCATAGCGATCTGTGGTAGAAAATGGGAAAGCAAGGTCACGTAGTTCGTGTCCACGGAGGCCGTGGCAGTTCTTTTTTTCCAGCCCAAGAGGCTCTGGGATGCTGACTACACGTTTGCGGTCAAGGCACGACTAGATGAAGTGGACACAAATTCTGTTTTGAAGTCGTTGTACGTATCTAAAAGCAGCGTAATGGTACTATTGGCCAACGATGGACCAGTACGTACGCGAGTACGTGTGCATGATGCAAGCCCATTAACCAGAAGAAGAATGGTAGGCTTATGCCGATACCTACTCCAGAAGAATGCTGGAATGTAGTATCGATGGACTTCATTACTGGTTTACCCGCATCCGAAGGGTATGATGCAATATTCGGCGCAGTGGACAAACTGTCCAAGCGAGCAAAATATGTACCGACTTATTCGACGGCAGATGCCAAGGACACAGCGGATGTCTTCTTTGATGCTGTGGTGAGGCATCAAGGGCTACCGAAGGTTATCATCAGCGACCGTGACCCCAAGTTCCTTTCGGAATGCCATTGATGAAACTGATGGGTGTCAAGTTGAGCATGACTTGGCGCATCGAGCCCAGGCACATGGACAGATGGAGCGTCAGAAGCTGGTACTTGAATATGCACTACGGTGTATGGTGTCGTATCATGGTGACGATTAAGTGAATCATATTGGAACAATAGCGTTTTTACACTCCACTGTGGCGAGTGCGTCAGCTAGAAACTCCGGTCGAAGTAGACACAGGACGCAAACTGTCGAATATCGTGGCAGACGAGATGAAGAACCTGCTATAAATCTAAAGAGGACGTAACTCTAGCAGAGTACGCCAAGAACTTTGCCAAAAAACGGCAAGAGATCGTAGAACAAGCACAGAAGAATTAGCATGAAGCTCAAGAGCGACAGAAAAAGAACTATGATCGTAAGCACAAACACGTTGTTTTCAAACAAGGCGAGTGCTCGACACGAAGAACTTACCCCTGAAGACATTAAACAAGAACACGGAACTGAAGAAAGCGAAGTAGTGGCTAAGAAGGCTGGTCCTTTCGTCATCGAGCGCATGATGAACTACAACGTGGCGAAGCTGATTCTACCGCGAGCGATGCAGCGCCTGAATACCACGTTCCACGTCGAGTTGTTGTCGCACTACCCGACGAACACCACGGCGTTTCCAAACTGCCCGATTCCGAAGGTTGTGCCGATGATCTTGGATAAAGAGACTGGTGAAGAGCTCTGTATCATCGAAAACTTGTTACCAGACGCAAGAAGCTCGAATGGCTCGTGAAGTGGCATGTATTGCCTGAACACGAAGCAATCTGGGAATGCGAAGCAAACATCAAACACGTTTCGCATTGGCGTCAACTCCTGGATGGTGTAATGGGCCCAACTCCAATTACATAAGTAGGTAGATATTTCTTGAGTTATTGCATAAGTAGGCAAAGTGGCACACGGGTAGCATTTGCCAAGGTGCCATCATCTGATTGGTTGATAGTGAGGAGCCAGATTCATAGATTGATCAATCAGGTGAAGACCTGTATTTGAGCGGTTCACCAGGGGTACCGTCTTACCCCGCACAGAGCGCCCAGGCATACTAATAAAATATAGCGCCCAGTGAGCGCTTTATTCGTTTTGAGTGCCTAGGCGCTATTCTACGAACAAACTTCTTAACTTTGAAGAACGCACAGGTCAGGTGGAAATTATACAGCAACAAATATATATGCATGCACGTCACTTTATTATGTGCTGACGGCTCAATTGGTCGAAGCATGGATTGGCATCCTGCTGGTCCATGGATCGGTTCTGGTTGTGTCATTTGATGATATTTTGGTTTTTGAGGCGTTACTTTGCTGTTTAGGGTGATTTCTCGGTCTTCTTCTACATGAATTAGAGTCGTTCTAGAAGCATTGGCATAGCGTTCATTAATTTTAGAGAACCCTTCCCGCGGTGTGTCCTTGTATTTTACTTAACGCTGTAATCGAGGTTACACACTGTTCTAAACCACATCATAATATTTTTTAGTACGCCTGGGCGCTTTGTGCGGGGTAAGACGGTAGCCGTCCTGGTCCCAAATAAATCAGAGTTGAATTTGACACAAACCTAAGACTTGGTTTTATTATTGCGAGCTTCCTCCACGCTATAGTATAAGCTAGTGACGATAACTCTTACCCCGTAGCAGATGGGTTTATTTCGCCGCCAAGCCGAAGTCAACACGGGGGAATAGTCATGCCTGCCTCTGCCCTGTGAGCATGCAAGCCAGAGAGCGCGGGCACATAGACCCTAGCTTGCATTCTCGCAAGCCGGAGGCTAAAAATCAGTGAAGCTGCTGCATTGAATGCATGCAGTTACAGTGATCCTACATTTAGTTATATAAAAATGCAAGTGCGCAGGGTAGACAACATAGGCACGACATAGAAAATAAATACGCAGAGCCAGTAAAAAGCCCTTGTGCTCTACTTGAGAGCCAAGGAAGGCATGTATTTTAGTGACCGCAAAGTTATTCATTATTAAATACACATTTTACCCCGCACATCGATCTCAACACCAACAGCTTTGACTACAAGAGCTACACTTTCAACAGCTTCCACTACAAGACATACACTATGACTCGACCGCACGACATAAAGATCCTGCTACTGCTGATCATTGTTGAAGGAGATAGTTCCTGGTGAAGAAAAAGAGGAAACGGAAAACTTGCCGGGTCCACTTGACGCCAAATTTAAAAATAAGGGAACGACATATACCTCGGTGGCGGAAAACAAGGAGGCTTCGCAAGAGTGATATCAATAGTAGTCTCAGATAGATTGGCCGTCAACCGTCAATTTAACGCGTATAGGCACTGGTGTGCAAGTATTCACTACCCCAGTTGATGTGGCCGTGAACGGCACGAGTACTGGTATCAAGTGAGCTGATTGAATAAATCGATGCTGGAGAGCCACCCAACAACGGACAAATCGCCCTTGCAGCTCAAACAGACATACACTAGGCTATCTTGTCGGGGCGCTTGATCGCGAATTGACGTCAACTTTAGGCACACAAATGCTAGTAGAAATGACGAAGTCACTAACTGCCAGCAACACGCGCAGGCTTTATAATACACCTTTGTCGACAGCCATACGCGGGTATGGCTGTCGGTAAACACAAGGCCAATGGTGTGGCGTAAGATGGGCCAGAAGTAGTTGATGCCCGATAGTGTCGGCACGCAAACACGGTAGCTAAAGCCTTCGTTGGTGCTGGGCCACAATTGGCTCACTGGGGTAGCCCTACTAGCTGGTATCAAGACGCTGTCGGTCTGCATTACCCACACCGACCAAAGAAATGACCCACGAAGGCAGATAAGAATGCATAAAGTACACGAACCAGCTGTGGCGCAAAAGATCGCGCGTTGCGGAGACCATAAACATCAATCGAACAGCGTGAACCACGTATTTGTAGCGTAGAGCTCACAGCTGTAACGCAGTGGTGCTAACCCAGCTAATGGACACTGACAATCATGACATCTAATTAAGATCAGCTGGATGCTCCATCTATGGAGCATCAGCCTGGTCCATGTTGTATTCGAGAATGCACTCCTATATCGCTGTCAGATGAAATTCTCTACTCGGCAAACTGTATTCGAGGTCCGTGAAGGCTGCTAACTCTGTGCGCAGCATCGCTTCTCGGTCAATTGCGCTGCAACTTGCTGTACAATCTCGAATTCACCACTTCGGGCTCACGAGCACTCTGTTCCTATCGGACCAAGTCTCCATCTTATTAGCAATGTTCAGCAACAACAAGATCTTTGGACTCTGCATCGCCGTCGTGGCTCTTTCGAGCGGTGCACATGCTGAGAAGCAAGTGGCTGAGACCTTCGGACTACTCGACGCGTCTGGTGTCGATAATGGTGTCGGTGTTCCCGGTGTCGCTAGTGTCGGAGTGGGTGGCCCCAGTTACGTTGGTCCAGGTGTTAGGCCTATTCTCAACCGGCCGCACCGCACCGCATCGCACAATTTTGTTCCGTGCGGTCGCGTCGGGTGAAAACGTTTATACAGCACATAACATACATCTTATGCAGCTGGTATATAATAGATTTTGTCATTTGTGGAAAATATCTCTTGAAGAGATAACCTCAAAGCTCGTGGACTGGAGGCATCTTGGGGTACGTAAGGATAAAGAAGAGAGTTGTACGGTCTTACAGACCAACTAACATTGGATACAAAGCAATAACATCCAGACACCAGGAGGTGATGCAACTCGAGGTGCACTAATACCCCATATCCCACCGGACCCATTCATGAATATGCGTCCTGTACCAACAATGCCTGCCCTAGCACCAAACCATCCCCAAATAAAAGGTGGCTACGCAGTGCAACAGCAATATAACGATTTTTCTCCTCTATAGTGCTGCATTCAATGTTAACAAGAGGGTGATGTATTTCTTTGGTTGATTTTTTTTTTGGGAGGGGGGGGGGGGCGGCGTTCAATATTGAGCCGCGGGCGATGCAGTTCTTTAGTTGCGATGTACTGGACAACGATTTCACGCGTCACATCGTCCATTAATTGCACAGCCCCGCCACCTTCCGTCTCGTACTCAGTATAAGTGTGAGATAAGTCGCGGAATTGGTTCCGAGTGCGCACTTCGCGTCGGATTGATTTTATTGATCTGGTTGAATGGAACGGGTTCCCAATTCATTCTGCTCGATACAAAAATATGCAAACACATACATCCATGGATGACGTGAGGTGCATTCTTTATCGACATACATAATAATATCTTAAGAAGCCTCCACCTATTGACGAGTAGGCCAAATGCCATAGCTATTAGAATGCGACACTGGCTAAAACAAAGTTGTAGCTGTCGCGGTCGGATCTATCTTGAAGATGGACTATGTTAAACGGTGTCAGCACCGTTCGGCGCTGAGGGTACGCGTTGTCGGCACTCGTATATGGCACATCCACCCATCTATAGCTTCAATATAACCCGGCATTGCACCACCCATGCTAATAGATCTGAAACCTGCTGCTTTTGACTCCAATTCATCGTTACTACGGGGGATTGTCATTGCTAGCTGCTCGCAATTATTGATATTTCGTAGAGCAGCATGCACTACACGATAAGAACGAGCCCGACTTGTACACGTAATTACACGTATATGGTGATAGCTACAACCAGCCAGCCAACTGATTCACGCTTGCAGCATTCCAGCAGGAGAAATAGGGGGCTCACCCAGAGCACGCCGCGAAGATTGAAGAGGATCTAGAAAAAGTCCTGGGCCGACCAAAGAAAGAAGTCTTTCGAAATCCGCGTAGCTCACGCAGTACGTTTGCTATTAGAAGGAGAGCTCAAGCAGTATACTGCTTGAACGTTTGCTATTAGAAGAAGAGTTCAAGCAGTATAACTCTCCGAAGAGTTCAAGCAGTATAGCTCTCCTTCTAATAGCAAACGCTCAGCATGAGCAAACCAGTTGATGCGATGTCGAACTACATTCATTTCGATGCCACTCGAACGCTCCTCGTCGGCAACAGTGGCAGCAAGCGCAGGCAGAACAACAGCACAGAACGCTCCCCTCCCGTTTGACAAAAACATGGCTAACGTTGGGATTTGGAAAGTGCAGTTTCAACTGAGCATGCTGAAGCGGAGAGTGATTTGATTGGCTTTGTCCTCATACAGTGCCTTTATGCAGCGATATCACATAATCTGCGATATATGATAATCCTCTTTTTGGTCGCATGCGACCACATGAGCCGGTTGCGAGTGGACCTCAGTGTCGGCGTTCCTGGTATTGCTGGCGTTGGTGTCGGCGTGCCTGGTGTCGTGTGACGTACCAGCGTGTACCAGTGCCAGACTGCCAAGCGAGCAGTGCTGGCACCGACGTGTAGCAGCGGCCACACGGTCGCGTACGCGATTGTACTCCATATTCCTCCTGCGATGGTGAGAGGCGCAGCCTCTCATGGCGGTTGCAACCGCCCTAGTCCTCAGCACCAGCACCTGCAGCTATATAAGACAACAAGAGTGGTTAGCAACTGCTCACTAAATAAAGCATGGGTCCCAAGGTTGAGGAGCGGGCTGCGGCGCAGCTATGCTTTCACTTCCAATCGTACCAGCGAGTACTCAAGCTCCTCACCTTGGTTGTTCCCGCCGCGGCATTCTGCCAGGCAACTCCCGCCTTCCACCTCGTCTATCTTGCTCTTCCTTTAAGTATACGTGCTGCTGGAGCCTACGTCACGCTGACGGTAACTACAAGGCACACAGCACGTCTCAGGTTATGAGCCCAACAACAGAAGCAAGCCAAGACAACAAACGTACCAGTGGTGCGGAGCAGCGACGCGAAGGCGTCAACCAGACTGCAACAGGAGCGGTGCCCTCGGGGTCAAATAGCGCCGACTCTGAAGAAAAAGGGGAATTGACTGAAAATTTTAATCCGACGATTGGTGACCATCACTCTCGGGTACCTGTGACAGTGAAAGATTCTGTATTTCCATTGGCGGAATCAAAAGATGGGCAACGCTCATTGGCCAAACCCGCAGAAGAGAAGGAGACAGCAAACTGGCAACTGACCATTCGCTCATTAAAAGATCGATCGCCTTCTCCCCCAGCTCGACGAGAAGACACCTTTGGAAATAGCTCCACGAGCCGCAGAAAAGCTGACACTGAACCTGAGGACAAAATGAATCGAGTAGCAGCCGTAGTGACCCTGCAGGTGGACAAAAAGCTCTCCAAGCCGGAGGATTACCCCGCTTGGCGCCTACGAGTGCTTACAGGTCTAAATGTCTCAAACATGGCCCAGCTTGTCCTAGGCAAGGAACCCTTCAACGACAGCTGGTCTTCTAGCGTGAAGGACTGTTGGAATAGCAGATATCGCAAAGCAAATGGACTTCTTGTCTCGGCCATCTCAGATGAAACCCTTATCCGCTACCAGGACGTGGTCAACCAGGCTGACCCTGTCGAGCTATGGCGGGTGTTAGCTGAGGATTTCGGCCAAGGGCGAGGGGTAAACACGGTGCTGATTTGGGAGCGAATTTACGGGCGAATGCTTCGCCCAGACGAGCCCGTGCGGGACTACATCGCCGACCTACTGAAGATGCAGCGCGAACTAGCGGAAAATAATGACCCCATCTCAGACTCGCGACTCGCTAAGATTATGCTGACCAAGGCTCACGCAGTCTACCCAACGATTGCAGATGAAGTTACGGAGAAGCTACGCCGTGATCCAGACTACAAATATACGGTGCGCGACGCACGTGGCCGTCTGGAGAATGCAGAAATACAACGCAACCAGCGAGTGCGTGAATCAAGCAGCAGCGCTGCGAACAGCCGTGGCCTGGCCAGTAAACCCCAAGCAAATGCTGTGCAGCAGCACGGTAATAGTGAAAAGGGTCCTCGCCGCCAGCGCGGCGGCAAATATGGTCGCAACCGTGGCTCAAGTGTTGCATCTACAAACACTGGCAAGTCTAATGCAGAACGGATTGCGAAAAAGAAAAAGAACTCGAAGTGCAATGCTTGTGGTGAGAAGGGCCACTGGCGCGGTGATGCTGAGTGCAGCCAAGGACGTCGTCAAACCCAAACCAATCAAGGTGACGAACAAGTGCGCTCTCTGAGTGGAGCTATTCTCCGGCAACATGAACCGCCTGTCTCGCGTGACAGGGTGGTAGAGTGCATGACATCTCGTGATGAACATGCAGAGCACGCAGTTGGTGGAATTAGAAATGATGATCGATTGATTTCGCTGAACGACGTGCGTTCGGTACTTGGGCTACAAGCAGTGGAGCAATTGGAACAGCAGCTTCATCGCCGAAACACAGGAGCTGGTGGGGTTACTGTGCGTGCTGCGTCGCCACAGTACTCACCCACGAGTCCTCCGTCAAGCCCCGTTGTTCGCAGCCCTACGTACTCTCCTACAACACCAGCGTCTCCTGATTACGCAGTGAATGCAGTAATTGGAGACGACAAGCATTTCCCTGCCATGCAGGCAGATGAAATTGAATGGCTTCTCGATAGTGGATCGCAAGTTAATCTGTGCGGAGATTTGACTTGTTTTTCGCATGTGGAGCATGGAACTTCCAGTAACGTGATGATGGCCTGCGGTCAGTCAGAAGTCATGCAAGCAAGCGGAAGTGTGGTGTTCCGTGTCGAAAACGGAGACACGGGCAAGTGGGAGCCTCGCCGCCTGGACAATGTCCACTACTCTCCTAATGCCCACGTGAACCTGATAAGCCTAGGGTACATGCGCGCCTGTGGGTTTAAGCTTGTCTTCAACGAAGACCAGAGCACTGCGTGGCTCTGCAAGGATGGGTTGAAGCTGCGCTTCGACCATCATGACCTGCTATACCGCCTGCGTGCGAAGCGGTCTGTGCGATTGGTCGGTGCTATTGAAGAACGCAAGGATGTGATGGGATTGCTGCACAATCGCCTTGGACACGTGAACATGAAGCTCATCAAGGAGTTGGCTAATGACAAGGCCGACTTTGGCTTTAACTTTAACATGCAGTCGTTGAAGGACTATGAATGCGTTCCTTGTTTATCGGCTAAGTTCAAGCGTACCACTTACAAGCGTGGGCCACGGCGGCGGAAGAACCCGCTGGAAAAGCTATCTGTTGATCTCTGCGGTATCAATCAAGACACGGCAACTGGAGAAAAGATGTTCATGCTGGTAGTAGATGAGGCAACGCGATACAAGTGGTGTTATCTGCTGAGGCGTAAAGACGAAGCAGCCAAGCTTATCGAAGAACTGGTATTGAGGCTCAACACTCAGTTCAAGCGTGCAGGACATTCAGTAACGTTGGTACACTCAGATCAAGGTGGAGAATTCGTGAATACCTACCTGGAACGGTTCTGTTCGAGCAAGGGCATTGAATTTAAGACGACGAATGCTTACTCCCCGGAAGAGAATGGGATTGTGGAACGGGCCAATGGTATAGTGCTTCCAAGGCTACGAGCAGTACTTCATGCAACCAATCTACCGAACCTGTTGTGGGGTGAAGCTACTCTACACATTATAGACACACTGAACCTCCTTCCGACAGCTCCATTGAACGGGAAGTCGCCCCATGAACTGCTGTTCGGCACGGCACCGGTGCTGCGACACCTACGAACCTGGGGTTGCTTGGTACATGCGTACGTACCTCCTGAGACCCGTCCAACGCGAGCAAAGCTGGACCCGCGGTCTGTGCTCTCGATTTTCCTGGGCTATAGTACTACTACGACTGGATACAAGTTGATGGACCTGCGAACTGGAGCCGTGACTACTCGACGCAGTGGGAACGTATATTTTCATGAGAAGTTTACTGTTGCGAATGACTACATCCGTCGGCTACTGCTGAACATGTATTTCAGTGGGGACTATGAGCTTGTGGATGTGATCCCGGTGGTGCCTATCACATCTACACTTGAAGCTCGACTATTTCCCGAAGCAGGTAGCGCACCTGACGTGCCTGCGACTACCAAATCAACCAACCTGCCTCCTGAAAAGGAAATCGGCGAGAATGCGGAGCCAGTGGGGGTTGTTGCAGCAACACCCGGAACTGAGCTGCAGCCAGCGGCTGTGACAAACAAGAAGAAGAAGAAGCGAAAGCGGCAAGTCTCTTCAAGCAGTGAGCAGGACGCCAGCAACGAGTACCAGTCACGATGTGCGAGCTCCCCTTCAGCGGAGGTACGAAGCTCAAGCCCTCGCAGAGTGAGAAAGGTACCAGCTCGTCTCAATGACTATGTGGTCGGTTCTGTGATGAACACGACGACGGAAATTCCAATTCCTAATACCTACAAGCAAGCAAAGGCGAGTAAGTATTGGCCGGAGTGGAAAGCAGCAATGGAGGATGAGCTGTCATCATTGCGCGCACATGGAACTTGGAAGCTTGTTGCACGAGTCAAGACCAAGAATCAGACTGTTATCACAAACCGATGGGTCTTTGCGGTCAAGAGAGATGCTGAAGGGCGAATCCAGCGGTTCAAAGCCCGACTGGTGATCCATGGCTTCAAGCAGAAATATGGAGTTGACTATGTGGAGACATTTGCGCCTGTCATTCGGTTTGAGACCATCAGAGCGGTCATCCTGTATGCTGTGAAGCGTGGCTGGCTTGTCTTACAGTACGACGTCAAGACTGCGTTCTTGTACGGTCTACTTTCTGAGCTCATTTACATGGAGCAGCCTGTGGGGTTCGAAGAAAACGGTGGGCAAATGGTCTGCCAACTTATTAAGTCTCTCTACGGCTTGAAACAAGCACCTGCAGTATGGAACAAGACGTTGCATACACTACTTGAGAAGCTGGGTCTCACCCGTTTGGACAGTGACTATGGCCTCTACGCTATATATAACGACGACGGAGATGTGACGATGATTCTTAGTGTGTACGTGGATGACCTCCTGTTGATGGGACCGACAACTCTGTGTACCAAGATTGCAGAAAAGCTTAAAAATGAATTCACCTTGACGAGCATGGGTGAAGTCAAGTTCCTGCTGGGAATTGAGATTACTATCGACAGGACGCACAACAAAATCATGTATTGCCAGCGGGCACACATCGACAAGATCCTAAAAGCCTACGGGATGCAGGACGCCTACGGATGCTGGACTCCACAGTCAACCAGCGAGTCGAAGGCCAACGTGAAAGCCGTTGCGCCTGGTATGAAACTACCGTACCGAGAGATTGTCGGGTCACTGCAGTACCTAGTGTCGGGCTCGCGGCCTGACATTGCACATGCGGTACGCCATTTGGGCAAGTACCTGTCGTGCTTTGAGCACAAGCACTACCGTGAAGCCCAGCGGGTTCTCCGGTACCTGAAGCAGACACGTGATCATGCACTTCACTTGGACGTTGTTTCGGGCAAGGACGTTGAAGTTACGGTGTACACGGACAGTGATTACGCTAACGATCCGGATGATGCCAAGTCTATCTCGGGCTACGTCACGTTGCTTGACGGCAATGTCGTGTCTTACGGATCCCGGAAGCAAGGGATCAACGCTCAGTCGAGCACAGAGGCTGAGTACATCGCTATGAATGAAGGGGTAAAGGACATACTATGGCTGGATGGCCTATTAGAGGAGCTACGGTGGTCTGCGGCCACACCACTACTGCGTGGTGATAACCAAGCGGCCCTCTATCTTACTGCGAAACCTGGAAAGCACTCAGCCACGAAGCATATCAAGAACAAATATCATTTGATTCGACATTTAGTGGAGGACGGGCAACTACGGACTCTTCATGTGCCTACTGACGACAATACGGCTGACACAATGACCAAGCCGTTGGCAAACGCAAAATTCACAAAGTTTCGAAAGCAATTGAAGGTGTTACCTGTATCAAGTCTAGCTACTGCTACTGCTACTGCTGAACATCAACACTAGCTACAAAATCAAGTGCAAACGTTCGAGCCACTTGCTAGGCTGATCCTGCGGGTCAAGCTAGCTCGACGCGCGTCTCGAACGAGTGGGGGTGTGACGTACCAGCGTGTACCAGTGCCAGACTGCCAAGCGAGCAGTGCTGGCACCGACGTGTAGCAGCGGCCACACGGTCGCGTACGCGATTGTACTCCATATTCCTCCTGCGATGGTGAGAGGCGCAGCCTCTCATGGCTATTGCAACCGCCCTAGTCCTCAGCACCAGCACCTGCAGCTATATAAGACAACAAGAGTGGTTAGCAACTGCTCACTAAATAAAGCATGGGTCCCAAGGTTGAGGAGCGGGCTGCGGCGCAGCTATGCTTTCACTTCCAATCGTACTAGCGAGTACTCAAGCTCCTCACCTTGCTTGTTCCCGCCGCGGCATTCTGCCAGGCAACTCCCTGCCTTCCACCTCGTCTATCTTGCTCTTCCTTTAAGTATACGTGCTGCTGGAGCCTACGTCACGCTGACGGTAACTACAAGGCACACAGCACGTCTCATGTCGGTGTGGGTGTAAAAGGCGTTGGTGTTAGCGTGAATGGTGCCGGAGTTGGGGTGGGCGTTTCGGGTGTCGCTAGTGTGGGCGTGGGTGCTTCCCCTGTTGTGGGATTAAACGGTGTGGATACTAGTGCACCTGGGACCGTTGTTCACGACTGGGTCGACGTCGGTGTTGGGACTGGGACTGGAGCGAGCAAGACTGTGACTGTGACGAGTGACGACGGTGCCAACACGGCGAAGTCGTCTACCACCACGGGTGGTGCGTCGGCGAGCGCCACTGATAGCGCTTCTGCGAACACGAACTCGAACGCAATGACGAATGCTGGCGCAAAGGCGCAACCGGCGCAGCATCTCAGAAGCTCTACCGCAAGCTTCGGTCGGAGCAGTGATTGCGGCGGAGCTAAGAGTAATTCATGTTTCGTTTGGGTTGGGTGACTTTCCGTGCAGGACTTCCTTGCCGGGTTGTAGTGTAAGGCTGTCGCTATTAAGCAGAAAATAACAACTCAGGCTTTGTTTACCAATTATTGTGTTACAAGCATGACTGCATTTTTTAAATTGAGGACAGCCCTTGTATTAGAGAAAGTACACAATACAAGAGATTTGTATTCGTAGATTTGGAAACACAGAATATATTTTAGTAGGGATACTTCGAAGTATTTACATGTACTACGAAAACAGTGGCAATGGTCAGATGATGGAATTGATCTGTCGATTGCCTATTCTTAGGCATCGGTAAGTTACAATTAGATAGCGGCCCCACATTACAAACACTTCGAACGGCAACAAAGAGGTTGGTGCCGGCCACTACGTAGGGCCACTGTCTGCTCGTATGTTCCTTCTCATGAATATAATGGCTGTTGTTAATGTAGTCGGCCTGTCGGATAAGAAATGTCAAACTCTGCCAGATGGCTCACATTAGGCGAGCTACTCGGCCAACTCGCCTTTGTTATGCCCGCAATCGCGAGTACGAACGATAAAACTCGATACTGAAAACCACGCACACCCACAGATTTTTTTTGCACATGGTACTTCGAGTTCCCCCTCCAGGCGATTTCTGTCATGCTGGTCGGCGGGCTGGTCGGTAACTTCTTGCTGTGCAGTACGCAGGCAGGTTCTTCAATGCCATCCGCTTCTATCGCCTCTTTCGTTCCGTGCGGTGCGCCAGTCGTGTTGGTTCATTCTGAATTATACCCTGTATCTCACAGAACATTGTTGAACTACGAGTAGACACAAGATCACATCACGACCCTCTCTCCATTTAACGACGCTATCGCTTCAAGTCCTCAATGATGTTCGGCAGTAACAAGTTTCTCTTGCTGGTTGTCGGTATTGCAGCCGTCTCTAGTGGCACTCTCGCCGAGCAAGAGGTGGCCGAAACCTACGGTGGTGGCGGTGGTCTCCCCGGTATGAGCGGCGGGCTTCCCGGTATGAGCGGTGGTCTTCCCGGCATGAGCGGTGGTCTTCCTGGCATGAGCGGTGGTGGTCTGTCTGACCTCACCAAGATGATGCCCGGTATGGGTGGGACGGGTACCGGAGCCAGCGGCGGGCTTCCCGGAATGAGTGGTGGTCTATCAAGCCTCACCAAAATGATGCCTGGTGGCGGCGGAACTGGAATGAGCGGTGGTTTGCCTGGAATGGGTGGCGGTCTGTCGGGTCTCAGCAAAATGATCCCTGGTGCCAGCAGTACTGGAGGTGGTCTTCCGAGTTTCAGCAACATGATCCCTGGAATGGGCGGGGCGGGAACTAGCGGCGGCCTCTCTGGGTTGAGCAACATGATCCCGGGCGCCGGAGGCAGTACGTCCTACGGACCAGGAACTGTTCATTCACCAGGCACCGGCACTGGCACTTCTGGAGCGACGAGTACCGGGGTCGGTGCTTTCGGCACAACTACGCCTGGCACTCCAGCGAGCGGTGGTACAACAGGTTCTGCTAAAACTGCCAGCTCGTCGGCCGGCACCGCTCCCGGCATAACAAGTACCGGAACCGGAACCGGTGGGACGGGTGCGAGTGGAACACCGTCAACGAAGACGTACCGCAGTCTACGCTCTGTGTAGTTGGGTGAAGTGAACTTCTTCGTGCGGAGTTTGGCATGTGTGGAAGCCACCAGTTTTGCTGTAGTAGTTGTAGAAGAAAAAAATATGATTTTTGTCAATTGAGTTTGCTACGGATGTACTTCCCACGTAGTGACCTAGTAGGATCTCTCGCTAAGCGCCACAGCTTAGAAGCCGCCATTTCGGACTTGCTCAGCGTTGACGGATCCTCACGGATTAGAGAGCCGTAACACTCTATGTACCTGGGTCCATAGTAGTCACCACCCTCAGCACCGATAGTTATAGCAGCGTACAGGATTACCAGCGCGCCCGGTGGCGCCACCGCGGCTGAGCGAAAAACCATTCACCAGAACCAACTGCCCCGATTGGCAACTACGCTTTTCTTCATGATATTGGTGTCGCAGTGACCGGGTGTGGCTGCCACAGTGATAACATTCTGGATCTCCGCAGCTTTCAATCGACGAGCTAGCTCCAGCGTGAAGAGAAGATTGCAGAGCTTCGAGACACAGTATGCCGCGATCTGTCCGTACTCTTTCTCGTAACGTCGAAAACAAAATACGCAGGACGATGCAGGAGACTGCCTGATCTGTCTTCTTCGACTTCCACTTGAATACTGTCGAGAAAAATGGAAACTGGCATTGATCTATCGTCTTCTCGGGAGCTAGCTACAGTCACTCCCACACGCATACACTACATGTAGGCTACAAATCAGATACTTCTGTAACCTAGATACACAAATGACCTGTAGTTAACCTAGATACACACATGACCTGTACCTGGGTATGGGTACAGCCCAGATCACTACCTCCTTCGATGACGGCCGAGTCCAGCCTGCGGTTGGCCCAATGTGGAGTCGGTCGGAAGAACTGGATCGTTGGGTGCTACAGATGCCCACATACGACGCGTCAAACCATCCGGTGCAGAGGATTCAACCAGCTTACGGACTAGCTGAGGAACATCCTCATAGATTACCGAAGCTGGTTCCCAGGAGTTCGCTTCAGGATCAAGTCCGATCCACTGGACCATAATTTTCCAGTCTATTGATTGAGGATTCTGGCGACAGTGTAGAAGCTTGTCCACAAGATGACCACCTTCGCCATGAAGAGCATGGGCTACTATATCCTCAGTAACTCCACAATCTGCATCACGATAAAATTTGAGCCGGGACGCATGACGAGCAGTGACAGCGAACGGAGCGTATAAATCTTGCACCTCAAATGTATAGTCAGAAAGGGATTTCACGACTCCTTTCGGGCCTTGCCAGCAGAGTGCAAGTTTACTACCTCCCTTAGTGACTCTGGCTGCAAGAACAAAATCTCCAATAGAAAACTTCGCCATTTGAACTCCAGGTTTCTTAGCCCGGCGTCCACGAGCCTGCAAGATTTTCCGCTGCGCAGTATTGGAACTTTGTTGGTGAATAGTGTCGAGACCCGGACGAATATCTCCAAGATGTTTTTGCTGCTGCTCTTCAACCTACGATAACGAGCAATACTCAACAAATTATGGAGGGATAATTGCACTTAACTGCAATGATCCTGGTAATCTAGTAAAAGCCGTCGAGGGTATAACACCACCCACGAGATCCGACACAGTTCCATTGAGTGCTGCTTGAACCAAAGGTAAAATGGTTGGACATTGCTTCAGATGCAATTTAAACTCACTAGCAATAGCTTTGAGACTACATAGGACAAGTCGATTCACTACTTCGACTGATCCATTCGCCCATGGTGAATAAGCTGCAGCAAAACGGTGTTGCGCTCCAAATAAACGACGTAGTCGATCAATAACTTCACTGATAAAGTGGGGACCTTGGTCTGAGACCCAGGAATGAACAACCCCAAATCGCTTAAGCCAGTCATTCAATCTATTGTAAGTCGTCTCTGCTGTAGCTCCTTCAGCCTCGATCAATTCAACTTAACCACTCATATTGTCCTTTAAAACCAGAACGTAGCAAGTCGAATTCTCACTTTTGGGTAACGAGAGGAAATCGAAATATAATATTTCGTTCGGTTTGGTGGCTCGCAATGTTTCACCAAACGGGCAAGGAACTTGTTTCCCTTGTGTACTCAAACAATGCAAGCATCCAGCCACAAATGCCGCAACATCTTGAGGTAACGCCCGCCAGAAGAAATTTCGCTCAATGGAGCAATAGAGGCGTCGATGCCACGATGTCCACTAGCACCTGCATGTACAATATTACACAAACGCTGCTGCAAATCACCTGCAGAGTCCGGTATCCAGACTCGGCGATCCACGCCAGTGTATACTGAAAGATCATCATTCCAACGAATATTACTTTGGACACCTTAAGATAGTGCAGTTTGTTGGAGATCAAAACTTTCGTCGTAAGAAGGCCACACAAATTGGGAGGCTTGGAGAGGAGAAATCTGATCAATGACAGCAAGCTGCCGCATGCGTGCCAGAGATACTGGTGCCGACGGTGCTCCCCATCGAGATAATAAATCACCCCCCAAACGTTGTCTTCACCGCGAATATGCTCAAGTTCATACTGGAAACAAGTGAGCGGCATAGCCTAGCGTTGTAATTTGTCAGCTTGCTATCTTTGCATGTTGTTTTCGATTGCAAAAGGATTGAAGATGTAAACCAGATTACGGTGATCGGTGTCCAGCCGAAAACCACGCGGTCTTAACAGCAAATACTCCAAACGTTTGCAAGATTCCACAATAGCAAATGCTTCCTTATCAATGGTTGGCCAGCGGTGTGAAGCCCCTCGAAAATGTCCACTCAGAAATGCGAGAGGTTGGTGCCGCTGATCTTCGAGCGACTTACTTGCATTTTCTGCTGGTAATTGAGTCAAAACAGAACCCCAATGATCCCAACTTGCATCTGCGACTAAAACAAGGTCCCATTCTGCTTTAGGCTGAGCCAATGGCACCATTCCAAGTAGCTTACGCTTGACTTCAGCGAGACTGTCATCTTCTGTTTCTCCCCAGCCAATAGTTGACAGCAAAAATTTACCAAGTTTCTTTGCGTACGTGCACCGCTCAAAATCATTGCTTTTTCTAGAATGTTGTATAGTGGAGCCGTGACACGAGAAAATTCAGGAATACTTGATCGCATCCAATTCACTGCGCATACAAACTGCTGCAATTCACCGGCCGTACTTGGGGGCGCCATGTCGACAAGTCCTTGTACTCGATCTGGACTATGTTTCACACCTGCAGCTGATGTAACTTCTCCACACCAAGTTACTTCCTTTACGAACAACTTTCACTTTTCGGGATGCAACTTTAGACCAAACTTAGCGCAGCACTGAAGAACTTCCTCTAACAACTTCATCCGCTCTTCTTCGGTCTCGGCGTAGCCCAAAATGTCATCGAGCCAAACAAGAACACCTTGATACAGTAGACCGCCAAAAATCAACCCCACTACGCTTTGACAATACGCCACTGCATCTTTTGCCCCCATAGGTACTTGGGTGGGTGTATACATACCCCGGTGTGTCATGAAAGTAAAAAAATTCTTGTGAGTCGGGATGTAATGGTAATTGCCAATACCCACGGATCCAGTCACACACGAAAAACACATTTGAACCTGCCACGTGCGTAATCACCACATCCAATTGTGGCATTGACCACTGCATGCCAATTGTCTGCTCATTTACCACTCTCAAGTCAATGCACATTCGAGAAGTAGCAGGAGGCGGCTTGGGGACATACTTGGTGCTGCGGCCCAGCGACAGTTATAGTTTTCATATACCAAGGCCAAATCTTCGAGTTCGGCAACATGTGCATCCATAAACGCTCTCTCCACTGATGCATATCTTCGCGCGGAACATCGACTTGGTGTAGCGTGCGGCTGCAGCTGAACGCGCATTGGAGGAACCTTGACCGGAGGATTCATACCGAAGAAAACACAGAACGCTGCTGTATGTCGTTCCAGCGAAGACTTCAGCATATCCATTGCGTGGCCATGAAGGGCTTTGCTCTGTGCTTCTTGAATAGCGCTCAAGAGATGATCGCTGACTGATTCAGTGGTCCTCTTATCGCGCGTGGTGTCAGGTAAAAAAATACTCTGGTTTCAAAACGATTATTCTTCCCACTGGTGCGATCAGTTGCAGCTTCGTCAAAACAAACGACTTCGCGTAGCTGTTGGGCTCGCATTAATGGTGACTCAGAGACATTGTTCCCAGTCGGAAGCACATACTCGGGCTGTTTCTCCAGAGCTGTAGCTAGTAATCCGTCAGTAGAATAACCAAGGGCCACCATTACGGATCGACCCACTGTCATTGCACAAGTCTCATCGGACTCGTTGATCCAGCATTCTAAATTCCGTAAATTAAGCGGTCCTGTCGACGTGTGCAGCACAACTTTATCGAAATTCGCTTGCTCATAGAGCTTGACGTTGCCAGGGCCAAATGGTTCGAATTCTTTTGGCGTCTCGCGCTTAATGAGCGATACATATTGACCTTGTTTGTGTACGTGAGACCGACGACGCATCAGCTCCATGTGGTGTAGGGATTTCCAGATTCGACCATACGCCAACCTACTTTAGGTCAAGAATCGGCTCGGTCTGATAACCCAGAGCTTAGGAGCAAAGGATCACGGTAAGTACTTGGCGATCTGTCCGAATATGCTATCCGGATAGCCGCTGAGCTCAGCAGAAGCTCCAATTCTGCGTCATTTCGACTCGGCGAAAGAAGTCCATATGATGTTGTACGCCAATGAGTGGGCACTGAGCAGTACATTGATGCAACCGCGCGACGACAAACTGCACCCAGCTCGCTTCTGCGGACGCGTACTAAAGGAGAATGAACTCGGCTATCATCCCGCTGAGAAAGGCGTAGTCGCGCTGTTACAATTGCTGAAGGTGTGCTACACTCTCTTGGCGGGAAAGACGCTACACGTCTTTACCCCTTTCTCCACGCTGGAGTGGGTGTTTAAGTCAAAGTCGCTGTACGGCCGCGCAGTCAGTTTCGCAGTTATGTTGTCGCCCTACGATTTGAAGGTGAAGCGAGTACGTGAGCGAGATGTAGAATTCTC